TACCAACTTTGGTTCTGCTTAGACATGTTCTGAATTCTGATTTTCAGAACCTAGGAGAGATCAAGTCTAAGATGCATATTTGTAGGTCTTCACTGTAGAGATAATGTTAGTAAGGCTGGGGGTGTAACCCAATTAATAGAGTGCTTTCTCATAACAAATGAGGCCCTGAGTTCAGCATCATCACAGTGTGGTGGCACATGCCTGTAATCCAGCACTCTATCCCAGTACCAGTTAGGTAGATGCAGAAAGGTCAAAAGTTCAAGGTCAGCCATCAGCTACATAATGAGTTCTGGGCCAGCCCTGGGCTATAGGAATCCTTGTCTCAAAACAAAAACAAACAAACAAAATGGGAAGGAAAGAAAACGAGTTAAAGGGTTCTGGTTTTGAGTACAAAGGAAGGAAAGGTTAGTGGAGACAAAGGAGCTTAGTTCTGTAAAGAGGAGGCTGGAAGAGTTGTAGGGCAATTTTAACACTGAGTTTTAGGTTGAAGGAAATAGTTAGAAAACAATAAATGGTTCAAATTTTGGAAAAGAGCAAGTGCAAACACAGGACAGTGTAGTTCAGCAACAAAAGCTAAGGCTGGAAAGCAGTACTAAGCCACATGTGAAGGGTAAGAGAAGAGGCATCCTCTTCAGCCAGTTTCTGCACTATGCCACTTAAGGTTTGTAAGAAGCTTGGCTGCATGGATGCTAGCAGTTGTATATGTATATAGTATGTGTGTGTGTATAAGTGCAGCTTCATTTCCCATTGCTGTGACACAGGCAGCATCTAAAGGAAAAAGCTTTATTTTGGTTCAGTTTCAGTTTGTCATAGAAAGGAGGGTGTGGTGGTGAAATTCACAGAGGCAGCTCCTCACATCTTCTGGATTAAGGTACAGAAAACAGGACCAGGAACAGCACGAACTGTATCCCTCCAGGTGCAACCCCAGTGGCTGCATCTGCTCACTAGGCCATGTTCCAAATGCTCTGTCACCTCTCAAAGTAGTACCACCAGCTGGGTCCAGGTTCAGACATAGGAGCATCTTGAGAAAATTTCACACGAAACCCACAGATCTGCATAAACAGTGACTTTAAGGAGCACATGGTAACCACAGAATTCCCAGTGAATACTAGAATTTCCAGTTGTGTTTTTGCTTTAGTACAGGAGCATTGATTACCCTGGGAGCCCCAGGCTCTGGCCACTGATAACCAGTTTTCACTTGTGTACACTAGGTTATCAAGGCTGCCTACAACCAAGTAAAAGCAGTTGCTCAAGGAAACCTTTCCAGTGCCGATGTCCAAGCTGCCAAGTAAGTTTCTACATGAGTTATTTCATACTTAGGTACTCACAAGCTGATTTAAAAAACAGTACTATACACTCACAAGAATAGGATAGTGGTGGAGGCTTGCCTTGCATGTACAAGACATGGGTTCTATTCCCATCACTGCAAAAATGACTCTTGTTTACCTTCTGATGGCTCTCTTTCTTATATTTAAATTTTTTTATTTTATGTGTATGAATTTTTGCCTACAGGTCAGAAAATGGTGCCGGATCCCCTGGATCCAGTGGTTGTGAACCACTATGTGGGTGCTGGGAACCGAACCCATGCCCTCTGCAAAAACAACAAATATTTTTAACCATTGAACCATCTCTCCAACCCCAAGTTTTTGGGTATGTGGGGAAAGGAGCCCTCACCCTTGCCATTGCACATGTGTGGAGGTCAGAGGACAACTTGCAGGAATTGTGCCTCTCACTGTGTGGGTTCCAGGGACTGAGTTTGGGTCATGTTTGGTTTATATTTGGCAGCAAGCACCTTTTACCCAGAGAGTTCATTTCCAGTATAGATAATTCAAATACCTTTTGATGTGTTTGTAAGAAATAAAATTTTTCTTATGGCATTATTGTGACTTGAGTTTGTTTTATTTAAAAAAAAAAAAATGAATGTTTTGTATCCACATTTAAGCTGTGGAGCATAGAAGATATCGTTTCATACTATACTTTCCTACTTGCCTTCTCCATAATGCCCTTCCCTCATTGAGATAAATCCTGGTGAAGTAATGGAATCTGGTTCTCTCTCTCTCTCTCTCTCTCTCCCTCTCCCTCTCCCTCTCTCTCCCTTCCCTCCCTCTGTCTTTTTCTTTCCCTCTGTTTCTCTCCCTCTCTCTCTTCTCTCTCTCTCTCTCTCTCTCTCTCTCTCTCTCTGTGTGGTATAATTATCAGCCAAGTGGATGGTGCATTAAGATCCACATACGTATTTTCTCTTATTAGAAATATCTGGAAAAATTAAATAAGAATATAGTCATAGCCAGACATGAAGTGTATACCTTTAATCCTAACACTTGAGAAGAGGCAAGCAGATCTCTTTAGTTCAAAGCCAGCTGTAGTGAGTGCCAGATAGCCAGGGCTATGTAGAGGGACCCTATCTTGGGTAATGGGGGGAGAGGCAGCAACAACAAATGCACTGTTTTCATAAAAAAATAAAAATAAAAAGTTGCTTCATGATCAAAATTCACCTTAAAGGTTTTACGTGGATCTAAGCCATACTCCAAAATCAAAAGGCAACCGTTGAGTGCTGAGTACTGTTTTGTATTGACAAACTCCCAGATAGTAATGTGAATAAAAACCTTGCTGAACTAAAGAAATAATAAACTTTTTAGCCTGTCTGAAGTCCATTTACTACTATCTTACTGTTAAAAACTGACTTCCTACTTGTTTGTATTGGATAGGAACAAGCTGAAAGCTGGTTACCTCATGTCTGTGGAGACTTCAGAGGGTTTCCTAAGTGAGATTGGGTCACAGGCTCTAGTTGCTGGCTCTTATATGTCACCAACCACTTTCCTTCAGCAAATTGACTCTGTGGCTGATGCTGATGTCATAAAGGTAAGCAAATGAAATCTGTGTTTCAGCCTTCGATTGTTTAACCTTAATGACCCACTTTCAGAAGAACTGCAGAAGCTTCCTTGGTGCCTATGTGTTGGTGCACAGAGCAGGAAAGCTCTTCCCATTGTGTCCACAGACAGCCTCCCTAGCAACTTAGGTGTGTATGTCTTTCTCATCCAAGGAAATTTCCATTAGGTTGAGCCATTTTAAACTCTTGGAGGTCAGGAGGAGTCAGATAAGCAACTTCACAGATTTCATGGCTGTTTGTTGCTCTGGCACCCCCCAAGAAGCACCTTCCCAGTCCTTTACCATGCAGGGTCTCATGGTTTTCAACATTCTTTCAGCCTAAGACCTTCTATTGCTAGTTTTCCTCACCCCCTCTTAAATATTACTGAGTAGTTTGTTACAGCCAGGTGGTGCATGCACTTGAGATGAAGAGGCAGGCAGATCTCTGAGTTCAAAACCAGCCTGGTCAATAGAGTGAAAGAGAAAAAAAAGATTGAGTGCTGATAAGGTGAACTCTAGTATACACCATCTGCAGTAAAGACACCACTCCCTTTTCTACTGTAGGTACCGTCTCACCGCTGTGTGGTATCAGTGGCATAGAAGAGATGGCTGTGTTTAGATACTAACCCTGCGGCATTTCAGTTGACCCCAGGATTAATCATAGCAAAATCTAAAAAGTCTACCTGTGTTAGAGCTATGAGTCTCTGCTTTACCTCCACCATCTCCCTTGCATCAGACAAGCTGACCCAGACGATACAGGAGCTCCTGCTCTACCTAGTCCTGCCCTGTGCTGCTATACTTAAGATAACCCAAATTTGAAATAGTGACATGAAGAATACCTGGCCAGCCAGGCATAGCAGATGCCTGGAACCCCCAGCATTCTGGAGGCTAAAGCAAGAAGATTGTAAGCGTCAAGCAGCTTGGACTACAAACTCTTAATACTACCACCTACAGCCTCTCTTCCAAAATAAAAAGAACACCAGGTCATAAAATTTATTTTTATGTTAGTAGTGAGGGTATTTTGGTCAACCAGGCTTTTTGTCATTGTACAGAACAAAGTTCAGCCTAGCAGCAGCTATTCTGTCCTGTTTTGATGGTCAGTGGGGGGTTTTCTTATACCCTTTCAAAACTGTCCTCATGTGGGGGGACCTTCTCCTGCTTGCTTAGTTGTATATGTGATGCTGTTCACATTCAGAATAAAACACCGACCATTTCATAGTTAATTGTCTTATGAGGCTGTATTATAGAGTTGCTGGCTTAAACTCAAAATACATGGTCTACTACTTAATGGTAGCATTATTTAACTTTCTGTATTTTGTTTAAGGCTGCAAAACAGTTTGTTTCTGGCAAGAAGTCAATGGCAGCAAGTGGAAACTTGGGACATACACCTTTTCTTGATGAGCTGTAACAAGTGTGTTCAAGTGGAATGGCTAAGTTTCCTCTCAGCCCAGACCAGCAAACACATCAAGTCAGGTCTCTTAACATTCAACATTTTTCTCAATGAAGTACTTAAGAGCATAAATATGAATAGAACCAATAAAGCATTGTCTAAGTGTTTTTGTTGCATTCTTTCTAGGCAGTCAACAGTTATTTATTAATATGCTGAGATCTTTGTTTTAAATGCTTTAAAGAAGACAGTAATACAGTAACTGAGTTTGCCAATTACAGTAAGAAATTTCAGAAACTTAAAATTGAGACAAAGCAGCTCTGAAAGTAATTCCAGATTGATATTGGTAGCTTTATAAAATAAAAACAAGTTTAAAAATTGCTCATTTGGGGATAACAGCGATTTAACAGTCTGTGTTTTGCCCCCTTCATTTATGCCTGTCTTCCCTTCTCTGTGGCAGTGTTTTCTCTCCTGACTCTTGCTCACCTGTTTCAATCCTGTCTCTTTTAAGTAACTCTCAGCCTGACTTCCAAGTGAAAGTATCACTGAAAGGGTGGGGGTGGGGTTGTATGTAAACAACCAGCCCAAAGAAAATTTTACCTTAAAAGACAAGTGGTCAGCCATTCTGATGACTGGGTTCCTCTACTCGATGTTGTATAGAAGATAATGTGATCTGAGAACAGATCTGTGGAATCTGTTAGACTACGGGAAGGAAGCCCTGAGCTAGTAACTGAAGAAGGCCTTTTTGTACAATCTTAGAAGAGTTGCTAAGTGCTGTAGGAATTTTACAAACCTATACATTGGATATTTAAAAATAAAAATTTCTGTGGCCACAGATTTGCAAACAAATACCTAAGCAAACTTTGATACCTTCTGACTTTCCCCCTTCTCAGCCTGTGCATAGTCCTCCAGCCAAAAAGCATCTGAGTTGGAGGAAGCAGCAGAGGAGGAAGAGGTGGAGGAGATGGCATTGTCGCGCTCCACCATTGTCCAGTATGGAGAGGGGGCCCTCAGTTCTTTCTTATCATCTTTGTGAATAACTACATCACAGTTAACATCTTTGCCAACACTAATAGTATGGTCCTTCTTTTTATATCCATGCCATTCTGTGGAGATTGATACCGGTATCCTTACAGGGTGATTCCAAACTGACCGAGGATATCTGTAATACTTCAGTCGTTTATCTAAGACTACATCCTCATGGTCATCTCTGCTTGCAAAAGGCTCATCTTTTGCCTGCTCCGTTTTCTTTGGTGTGCTGAAATGAAGAGTGGATGCAATACATACTTAATGTCTTAACAGAGTTCCCTAACAGAATCTTATCAATTATTTTGTCTCATATATATATAGAGAGAGAGAGAGAAAGAGAGAGAGCTGGAGAGCTCACAACTGCCTATAAATCTAGTTCTGGAGAACCCTATGCCTTCTTCTGGTCTCCATGGACACTGCACTCAGCTTGCACACACACAGAGTAAAAAATAAAGCCATTAGGGTTTGGTGTGTGTGTGTCTGTGTGTGTGTGTGTCTGTGTGTGTGTGTGTCTGTGTGTGTGTGTGTGTGTGAAAACCTAAAAATACAAATTACCTTCATTACTTTCTAAAGCATTTAGTGTTGATGAAATGGATTCTTGGTGCTTGGATAATTTCAGATTGATATATTTTGTGTGTATGAGTGTTTTGCCTGCATGTATGTATATATGTGTGCCATGTGTATGCTAATGCCCATGGGTGTCAAATAAGGTTGTCATATCTGCTGAAACTGGAGCTACAGATAATCAGTACTTAAACATTTAAAGTCACCTAAAAAATATCTTACAGCATAGGTCAGTACTTTCTGCACACACACACACCCTGCACACAAACATCTCCTCCACTGCTCCAGAGCTAACCCCATCCCACCCCCTGGATTCAAACACTCAGATCTGTCTACCTCTGCTTCCCAGGTGCTGGAAAGTGTCTCCTTTGAGCTTGAGAGATCTGGATCATATTTTTAAATTCCTTAATTTTTTTTCCCAATCATAAATAGAAATCCTGCCTTAAATTACTTCACACTACTTTAAAAGAAAACTTTTAAGATTTAAGCCAGACCACTGACTAGACTATTATAAGACCTTAAAGGATGAACTAATTTCATTGTACCTTGAGTGACAGGTTCAATCTGGCCCTCTAGACCAAAACTCTGTTCTCGTGGGTCATATAGCAATAACAAAAGATAACCCATTACCAGGGGAGCTAGGCGATGGTTGAGCTTCAAGACTTTTCAGCATGCTAGCCATTAGTAATTCTGAGGTTCTCTTCTTCTTCCCCCCTGCCCCCGGACAATACTACATAGGCTGTCTAAGGCTTTCCTTTTCAAACTTGACCCTGTTCATGGCTTCATTGTTGAAGTGCGGATGATGCTTGAACTCTGCTAGCTCACCTTGTTAAATCCTAGAACAGATACTGGCCCCTGGACTTACTCATCCTGGTGCCCTGCAGGCCCAAAACTGTCCCTGTGCTTATAGCTCTGTTTCCAAGAATTTAAGCAACTTTTCCTAAAGTTTATCTCTTCTATTAATAATGGTATTGAATGGAGTTTTATTACACACAGCTAGTCATAAAGGGTGGTCACATAAGTGGGGAAAGAAAGAAAAACATAAACCAATTCAACTGGCCTTTGATTTCAAGGGTAAATTTAAGGGGAGATAGTGGGTGATTTAAGATGGGTGGAGATACAGAGATGGATGACCTGAACAAGGAGAAGCTAATGGGTCCCCAGGCTGATAGCTAGGAATCCAGCATTGGACCGACACAGACCCCCCTGAACATGGGTCTCAGTTAGAAGGCCTGAGCAGTCTAAGGGACCTCTGACAGTGGAACCAGGATGTATCCCTGGTGCACAAAAGGACTTTAGGAGCACATTCTCCATGGAGGGATACTCCCTTAACCTAGAGACAGGAGGGAGGGCCTAGTCCCTACTCCAAATGACTTGACTTGACAGATTTTGTTGACCCCTCCTGGAAGTCATCACCCTACCTGTGGAGTTGGGGGGGGTAGAACAGAGAGGGAGGTAGAGGTAACTGGGATCGATATGTAAAATAAAAATAAATTAATTTAAAAAAAGATGGGTGGAGATAATACACTTCATAAGTGCTTAGTGTATGGACAGTAACAGAAACTACAGGCACTGAGACAGCCTAGGAACCAGAAGAGCCAAAGGCTAAGCGTTGAGGGAAAACACTAATCTCACAGACCTGGGAAACTGGGTCAAAGGCAGGAATAAGAGGATTGAGGAGTTGTAAAGAGTGCCGCTGCTTAAAAGTTGAGCAAACTACAGACAAGTTCATTGGAATCACCAAATAAGGTGGCAGGCGATCTGGGAGGAGAGAGAAAAGAATACCTACTGTACTGCAGCACCTGAGACATGTGTCTCCTGAGGGATGGAGAGCTCTATTGGCTTTTTCATCACATTCGAACAGGAGGAGCAGGAAGAGCGGTGGAGTTAAGTGTTTACTAAACAGAGAGACTTATAAAAAGGCATTGTGCTGGTTGGGTTTCGTCAGCTTGACACAAACTTAGACATCTGGAAAGAGGGACTCTTAATTGAGAAAAATGTCTCCATTGCCTTGGTATGGGAGGGCCTAGCCCATTGTGGGTGGTGCCACCCCTGGGTAGATGTTCTAGGTGTTGTTAAAAAAAAAAAAAAAAAAAAACTGAGAAAGCCAGTAAGCAGCATTCCTCTACATCCTCTTCTTCAGTTCCTGCCCTGACTTTCCTTTGAATGATGGACTGTGATGTGGAAGTATAAGCAAAATCCTTTCCTCTACAAATTGCTTTTGGTCACGGTACTTTCTCATAGCAATAGACACCCTAACTAAGACAGGTATAAGTGTTATTGAGAAGGTTCTAGGGTGTTACTGCAAGAAGAGGAGGAGGAAGTAGGATCCTCAGCACAGTGTGTGCATGCCCTTGTAGTGGGCAGTTGATGGTAGGTATCCCTCCATCATGCTCTACTTTTTTGAGAAGGGGTCTCTCACTGAACTGGCAGCTCACCACTTGGGCTAGACTGACTAGCTGACCAATAAGCTCTGGGGGTCCTCTTCTGTCCTCCCTGTCACCTCTGGAGTTAGTCATACTCCACCACACTCAGCTTTTTCATGGTGCTAGGGGTACGCTCTCACAGCAAGCACTTCATCTACTAAGCCATGCCCCATCTCCATCTCAGCCTGTGTTGTAGAGCTTACTAGATAGGCTGCATTGGCACAGTGCAGGTAGATTTGGGGGACAAAGTATCCAGTTCTGCTGACTGAGTTCCTAACTCCCAAGTTGCCTTTGTAACTAATACTCCCTAATATGAGGTCCTGTAGAATGTCCTTTGCAGAATGTAGTTCACTAAGCCCTGGCAGTGTCACCAAACCTCCTCATGGTTCTTGCCATTTCATGATTCTCACATTAAACCAGAACCCAGCACCTCACAAGCCTGGGTTTCATAACATTGTCTTAAAGTAGACAACTTACTGTGGAACTGGAAATTTGGTCTCGGGGATTAAATCATACACATCTTTCCATTCCAGGGGTATGTCAATAAAGTCTTGGTAAGCCTTGATTTGTAGCACTGTTCCTATAGTGATATTTTGCAAAAGCTTTAAAAATTCACGGAGGGTATATCCTAACACGTTGGCATGTCCAACACTAATCAGAACATCACCTGAAAAAGGAAAAACAGTAAATATAGATAATGGGTTTAAAAGAGCCATACTGATCTCTGGCTTTATTGAAATATTTTATGGATTAATACATTGTTTCATTCTAACCAAAGCCTGGCTTCCATCTGGACTTACTAAGAACATTCACTTCCTGCATGAGTGTTCTGGGCATGATAAAGATGTCTACCTTAGTTTTTATGATAGCCATTTAATAATACTTTTTAGCCATTTCTGGAGTTCTTAACTGGTAAGTTCTTAACCTCTGGTTAAGTAGCTAAAACCATTTAAAACCCAAACCATTTAGAGTTAAGATGCTAAACGTAGAGAAATGAGTGGTAAACTAGTGAAAGGGAAGCCACATTCCATTCTGCCTGCCTGGGATCACCAAGCCCTCCACAGCAAACAAGCTAAATTAAGCACAAAGGCTTCTGTTTCAGTTATCTGCCCCTGTCCTAAATTAAGTAAACCAAATAACTATATGGAGTATTAGATGATTCACTTATATTAATTATGCTTATGATATGTAAATGCAGAAAGTGTTGATTCCAAGGAATCTAAACTTGGGCCCCTCTTACCTCTTCAGCATATCCCATTTCAGCCCACCAGGACAACCTGCACAATTGGTTCAAAACACTGAGAGCAGGACCCCCTCTTTAAAACACGCTGTGCTCTGTGGGGAATTATGATAGTCAACCAAGAGCTTCTGAGCACCCAGCTAGTGGAAAAAGATAAGTACTTTAACAATAAAAACCTACGTCCCCAAAATGAAAGCTAAAAGGGTCAATTATTCACTTGTATGAATCTAACTTACCCTACCCCTGGCTCCCACCAGTTACAGTGAAGGTCTGTAAACTCAGCCTGGTCACCTGGCTCTGGGTCCTTTGGTCTTTCCCTATCTTCCAAGCCTGGTTATCCAGATTTTCAGGCAATTCAGCCAGATACTGCCCCAAATTAAGTGCCTTAACAATACTGTTTGCTGTTGTTTCAAATAAGGAGCATGAATACTAGCATTCAGCCAAGCCCCTTAGGAGGAATATAGAAGGTTTGCACTTAAAGGACAGATACACTCTGGGGAAAGTCTTAGTTGTCAGTACTTCTCAGGGGGAAGAGTGTATTCTTAACATGGGTAATGCCTTGTCAAGAACCCCAATACCCATGGAAGTGGCAAAGCCTTCCCTGGGGAAGACTCAGAAGCATGAGTCCAAGTATGAGTGTTTTTGACCAGTGTACAAAAGCTAGCAACTGCAGCTTCCTCTTCTTGGAGAATGCAACCTGACACGCCTCATTTACAGAGACCTCCTACTGAGACTAGCTAACTCCTCCTTGTGTTGTTCACAGTCTGTGCCCTCCATCAGAGTGAGCACAGCCCACTCAATCCCATCTTCTCTGTGTGTCTGTGCTCCCACTCAGTACTTAAGTTTCTTAATTCCTGTATTGCCTGTCAGGACTTTATAACTGACACAGGATGACAGGTTACCTGCCTGAATGGTGAAGCTAGGAGCCCTCAATAACTCTCATTCAAGACAGGTGAAACCCAGCCAGCTGGTGCTGGCTCCTACTGCAGGCTAGTCAGGAGTTATACGCTCTAAGGGAGTGTCCAAGCACTGCCAGGCACTTCCCTAGTGTGAGATCCTAAAAGTTTCCACTGTTCTAAAAAGTCTGAGGAATCCTTCTGCATGGGTTTTGAGAAGTAGATGGGGATAAAACCAGTCTCATACTGAGCTGGACACAGTAGCACATGTACCTATAAAACTGTTCAGAAGACTGAGGCAGAAGAGGGGTGGCAGGCCTTTCATCCCAGCATGTAGAGGGAGAGGCAGGCAGATCTCTGAGATTTGAAGTCAACCTGATCTACAAAGTGAGTTCCAGGACAGCCAGGGCTACATAAGGAAACCCTGTCTTAAAAAAAAAAAAAAAAAAAAAAAAAAACAAGGCTGAGGCAAGAAGATGAACAAAGAGTTCAAGGCCAGCCTGAGCTACATAGTGAGACTGTCTCAAAAAGCAAAGCAAACAAAAGCATGTACTGAAAATAACTTCAGAATGAAGCAAAGTTTCTCTCAGAGCTACCTGCAGGCTGTGCAGTATGAAACAGCTGCTCTTCCTGCTGAGGTTAATTACAGTAACAAAGTTACCCTCTTAGGATGAGTTTGTGTGCCTGGTGTTAAAAGGGGTGTTTATAGCTGAAGACTGTGGCTTGGCATTCTGCTTAATTATGTTGTAAGAGAGTGACTTATCAAGAGAACATAAACAGCTCAATTCCCTGACCATTCTGGCTTTAAACCAAATGTGTTGGGGTATGAATGTGATTGTTCTGGCAAGAGATACCAACGCTCCCTTTCATGGACACCAGTTGGGTGTTTATGAACACTAACCTCATCATGTATCTTTTTTTCTGCTCTAATAGGCTGTAGGAATGACACTATATAAGTCTGTTTAGATTGCCTATATTAAATCAACTGTGCAGCAGCCACACTACTGAAAGATAGGATTTCTCATTCTCTGTTCCTTCCAACTAGGATGTAAATTATACACATTTAGTGTGGTTAGAGTCACATTTGCCAAGTTCTCCACTGTTAGTGCCCATAGGACATGGACACGGAAAGGAATTAAGGAAATGTAGAATGAATGAATGAGTGAGTGAGTGAGTGAGCAAGCCTGGGTATGGCTAACTGTATGACAGAAGCCACTGTCCACTGTCAAAGCTGTAGTAATATTTTAAAGCTGTAGTAATATCTTAAGACTTTGCACATCAGACAAAGAAAACACCAAATTACCAGATCAAGATAAAATACCAAAGACAAAGAACTTTAGAACACATGGATGAGAAATAACAGGGCTGGCAGGTGTCAAAGAAGTGGCAAATCCCATGGTTGCTGTCAAAAATAATGGAAAATCAGACTTTAAAACCTGGACACTGGCCGGCACTAGTGGTGCACTCCTTTAGTCTCAGCACTCCGGAGGAAGAGGCAGGTCAATCTCTTTGAGTTCAAGGCCAGCCTGGTCTACAGAGCTAGTGCCAGGACAGCCTCCAAAGCAATACAAAGAAACCCTGTCTCAAAAAAACAGAAAACCTAGAAACTGAACAGTAACTGGTTTCCATTAAGAGATTTGGTGCCCAGAATGTCTGCATTGAAATTTCACTTCTTTCCAGGCGAGCCAGACTAGCTACACAGAGAAATAGGGTTTAAAAAAAAGGAAGAAAGAAATCTCACTTCTGCTTATGAAGCCATCGGTAACATGTTATGGGTTTTCTAGCAGGTCATGGTTTCAAATCTGACCTTTGACCACAATCAAAGAATATAAGAATGATCAAGGAAGACCATCAGCATCAATCAGTGGCCTCACACATATACATACAGAAAAGCTAATATCTAAAAGACAACTAGCTATAGAGAACCCATAATAATGCAAATTGGCAATATTTCTAGAGTACTTGTTTTCAGAGCTCTTCACAATATTTTACTACATCTTAACAACCTAGAACAGAGATGAGACTCTTCCCAATTTAGATATGAAGTCAGTGAGGCTTCAAAACTTGAATTTGCCAAAGTCACAAAATGAGAAAGTGACACATCTCAGATAGATCTCTGAACAAATGGCCGGAAGTGGTTTTCCCTCTCATGATTTCATCCCACTGTGCTTCCCCCCGTCCTAGGCACAGCACAAGGGCCCTAGACAGATACTGAGAAAACATGTCTTGCATTAGATAGAAATGCATTCCCCCAGAGTCCTGCAAAGCTAGGGGATCTTGATGAGACCTTTGGACTTGGAATCTGAGAGAGAGGGCTTAAATTCCAACTCCTAGGTATAACTGGGCAAGTTCCTAAATACCTACATATTTGCATAGTGGTTCAGTGTAGAATATATCCTGAGGCTATTGAGAGGGTGAAAGAGATCATTTGCCTCCACATGTTAGCTATGATTAACTAGTTGCGAACTGTGGAGTGGGTGACATCAGCTCTGTGTTTGTCTCCTACTCACTGGATGAAAGTGAACCTGGCGAGGAAGGCTCAGCCACTAAACTCCAGTCTCCTCACCTGCGAAAGGAAGGTGGCGAGGACAGCCTTCCTAGAATGGTACTAGAAACCAAATGAATAGCAAGTAACTGATGTGTATACAAGTGGAAGCAATCGGCTGCCCCACAGGAAATTCTCAGACAATGTCATATCCTCCTGCTGACTCCCTGAAGGCAGGTGGAAACCAGTCACCTGGCTGGAGTATCCCGTCACTGGCTGCAGCACCTTTATTGATGAGGTGACTAATCTGGAGGTAAGGTCCATTCTGGATGATGATCAGGCCCAATCCCAGGCTGCCCACGGTGAGTTTGGTCTGCTTCTTTTTGTTCCAGCTGTGGGCAGTCCCCTTGACCTTGAAGCTGTGTCCTTTTTCTAACAGAACAAGAGGAACTTGTTTCAGTCATTTATCAAGACAACAGCATGGCGATGGCGCTGTGGACTGCAAATTGCCAGGCATTGGTGGCGCACACCTTTAGTCCCAGCACTCAGGAGGCAGAGGCAGATGGACCTCTATGAGTTCAAGGCCAGCCTGGTCTACAGAGCTAGTTCCAGGACAGGCTGCAAAGCAATACAGAGAAACCCTCAAAAAACTAACAAAAAAAAAAAAAAAAAAAAAAAAAAAGGGTCTGGGAATTTAACAGGGCAGTTAAAGGGCTACTGTACAGTGCTAGTGCATTATGGGTGCTTAATATCAGTTAAGTTATTATCATCCATTCACTTGACAAATGTTGGTGCAAGTAGTGCACTCAGGCCCTGGTTTACTATAGTGAACTACATGGGCTCGTTGCCCTTGTGGATCTTACAACCTAGTAGAGGACACAGCTGTCAGTTATGTAAACACAAACTGGATGCTAAATAGGGGGAAAGGCAGAGAGCTCTAAGGGTAAACACCAGGGGACCTAAGTTTCACATAGGGATAGGGACCAGGTTTCCCTGACAGTAAATATGGATCAAGGTGAGAAAATCTACAAGCTAGATGTAGATGGGGGGGGGGACAAACAAAATCAAGGTTCTAAGACAGGAACCAGCCTTGATGGAGACACGAACAGCACCAGGCAGGTGATGGGAGGTGTACTTCCTGATAGATGGGCTGATATCCAGGTTTACACGAAGAAAAACTTGGAAGTAATTTACGCTGGACATGATCAGGTTGTCCTTGTTTTAAATAAAATCACCATGCTGGCTGCTGTGTGATATGTGGAGCCCAGAATGCAGTCACTCATCCATATCACTTCCCTGCCAGTAGAAATGGACAGTGGTGGATGCACACATCATCTAGGAGGAAATACACCATTTCACACACAACTCCTGTAAGGGCCAGTGATGCGCTGAAATTCACCAGGCCTTGGCTGAGGCTGTGTGACTGTGGTATGTCCAGGGTCACTGCTGAGAAGGGCTTCCCCAGCTTCCCATAGCGAGCTGTGGGGACTCCTGAGGCTCATGGTTGTCCTCAGAGAAAATGTCCTTGCTGGACACCTCCAACAACTTCAGTTGGAAAACTGAAGCTTACAAGGTAAATAAATGTGCTAACAAAGTAATCTTGTTTTGAAAGATAGCAGTGGGGTGGACAAGATGGCTTGCCAGGAAAAGGTGCTTGCAGCCAAGCCTGACAACCTGAATTTAATCTCCAGGACCCACATGGAGGAGAGAACTGACTCCCACAAATCCCCCCACCCCATTCTCTGTCTCTTCCTCCCTCCCTGTCACACACAGAGATATAATTTTAAAATTTTAAAGACAACAGAGTAAAAGGAATCACTCAAAAAAATCTCTATACACGATTCCACATTTAGCCATTCTCCGTGGAAAAAGGAAAATTTGAGAAAACATTGAAAGTACAAGAAATTGGGGCGTAGCAAGGGCAGTGGCAAGGTAATTTAGGGGAGATGAATACATTCCCTCGCTTGATTGTGGGAGTGGGCAAGAGTGTTATATATTTGTTGAAACTCACAGAGATGTCCACTAAAAAAGACTATCTCGTTAATCTTGATGAGCAAACAATGGTGAGACATCTCCATGTGTGACTGCCATTTTACAAAAGAGACAAATTTAGGCGGGCTTGGAACCCAAAACATCACCCTTTTCCTATTACTCCATGTACCATCTTTGCTTTTGAGGGGGCCCTTCTCCATTGCCCAGGGCGGGGCTCTCTTGATCCTCCCAGGAGCTGAGGCTGGAATCTGTCTGACTTCCAACAGTTTGGAATCCCCGAGGCAGAAGATCAGGATCACAGGCCACGGGGCGCCGCCCGTCTCTCTAGATGGCCGCCAGGGGGCGCTGCAAGACTTCTTCCCAGATTTTGAGCAGCCAGATAGTTGTTTCAAGGCTTCAGTAGAACCTGGGAAACATGGCACAGGTGGAAACTACTCCAAGGCAGAGTGTAAAAACTTATATGGGAAAAACGGAAATTTCTGCAGGAACAAACTGAGTTCCTGCTTCACCCAAGGCTCTTCATTCATTGGTGGGGAAACACTGGGACAGGGCAAGAGCATAGAGGAGAGAAGGCCTCCAAATGTGAGCAATAACATTGCTGGGTGACCATAGAAGATCCCAGAATCCCGTTTAATGATGGTATTAAAATATTGTTATGTCAACAACGCTAATGCCTTGCCAGTGCACTTTATTTATGTGTGTTTTAGATGAGAAAGGGCCAAGAATGGCCTGAAAACAATGAGTCACTATTAGAAAATGGATTATTGACTGCCTTTTTCCAAAAATAATCCTCCTCCCCCACACATTCACTCATACAACAAAAATTCACTGAATGCTAGTCTGGGGATGCTGAGGACATGACAGTATATGAGACAAACATGGACTTTACCCTCTCGGAACACACAGATACACACACACACACACACACACACACACACACACACACACACACACACACACACACACACACACACACACACACTTTCTCCCCAAGACGAGGTTTCTCTGTGTAACCAGCTTGGACTCAAACTCACAGAGATCCACCTGCATCTGCCTCCCAAGTGCTAGGATTAAAGGTGTGGACCACCACTGCAGGGCCAGAACTTGTATTTTCAACACAGATGCAGGGAAGAGTTTTAGGGAAGTCTAAATTATGGAAAATAAATTCTAGAAGAGAAAATAGTATAACGAAGTGGGTCACCACTCTGATGAGAGAAGAAGTAACCCCCTTGCCTCAGGGCATCCAGCCCTTAAAAAAAAAAAATAATAATGAGAAGCACCTATTGGAAGTCAGGCTGTGCCAAGACTTTTAGGGTGAACCTGAGTAGGGTCTCAGCTTAGTCTTCTGTTTCCCTAGCTCTAGCCAAACAATAAACCAAGACAGATTTTCATTGGCTAGATCTCATCTTCTGGAGTTTTGTGCAGACTTCCTGCTGCATTTCTTGTGATAGGCCACCTCTTCCAGCATGGCTGGAATCTGCTCAGGTGCCAAGTGTAGTTAATCAAGAAGTACATCCTTTACTACTATCCTCTTGCCAATGGGAGAATGATGAGAAAACAAGGGCTAATGCACATTAGTCTTCTTCCCTTCCTGGGTGGAAAAATCTCTTTAGAGTAGACACCAAGGTCATACCGACTAGAATGAATGTATGATATGAACTCTCAAGGACACTGTACTATCTAGACTTCCTTTCACAGCTAAATAACTTGACCTTCTCCTCTCCACTCCATCTCCTGTTGCCACCTTTGAGAGTGCTTTGCCCATGATCCCATGTCCCTAGAACAGTTAACAGTGAGTGGCCAATGCAGGGTCATCCCAGAGCTCCCAGCAAGCCTACCTCTGGCCCTGCTGTGACTGCCCTATAACCTGGCTCTGTCCAGTTGTTTCTTTTCCTCCATCCAGAGATATGGAGCCTGCAAGCATTCTTTAATAACGTCTTACAACTCAACCTCTTTTCTAGAGAAGCCAACCCACAGCAAAGATAACCGATGTGTACTTGCTAAGATTCAGGATCTGGACCGCCTAATAGAATGAGGACCAACCATTGGGATGAGAACTTAGGCAGTCTCTAGCACAGAAAATGTTTCCTTGTAAATGGGGTGGTGTAACAGAGAAAGGAAATAAACTGACATGGATCACGAACACATGATAAGACATCCCTCTGGCCAGGAGTTGTCAACAGCAATCTCCAGAAAAGCAGCAGACGGCTGCTACTGACAGGGATGGGAGCAATGTTTGGCATTCAACTAATCCACATGGTTGTCACAGTACTCTCCTGTCCCTTTTCTTACAATAAATGGGTAAATGCAACAACTGCATCCTAAAAAGTGTATAGCAACATTTGGGGGCTTAAACATCTTGGGAAATGGGGTATAAACCATCCCAACCCATAAGTCACATCAGAGTTTCTGACAAGAGATAAGAGGAATTGTGGGTGAATGACAGAGGGAAATGACAGGAAGATCAGTTCTGCCTCAAGACAGCAGTACCCTCCTCTGGTAAGAGGGCCATCACATCCAGCAGGAGCGCTCTCAGACCCTAAGAGAAACCAATCAAAACTTTTCGCTTCTTTTCTGAGATAACCCGGACTGTTCTTAGAACTCCAGTTCTCCTACCTCAGCCTGTCATAGAATTGCAGGCATGTGCCCCCACATTCAGCCTTGTATATACTTTCCAAAATTTTTCTTAGTTTGGTATATAAGTACACATCTTTAACCCCAGCACTCAGGAGGCAGAAGCAAGTGAATCTCTGTGAGTTTGAAGCTAGCCTGGTCTACAAAGTGAAATTTGAGGTTTGAATTTCATATCAGCCTGGGCTACATAATATCCTGTCAGAAGGCAGGCAGGGGTGGCACTTGCCTTTAGTCCCAACACTCACGACACAGAGGAAGATGGATCTCTGAGTTCAAGGACAGCCTAGTCTATACAGTGAATCCAGGACAGCCTGGTCTATACAGAGAAACCCTATCTCAAAAATCAAAAAAACAAAAACACTATGATTACAGAATTCCAGAATATTTTGCAAAATGCACCCGTGGAGAAAATGCTAGCCTTCAAAGTAGCCCCCCACCAGCATAGTGGAGAGACTGATCCCAACTGTGGGACTACATGTGTTTTAAGGGTGTTTGCGCATGTTTATATGCATGTGCATTTGCAGGACAGAGGTCAATGCCATTCTCCACCTTTTCTTAAACAAAATAAAACAAAAAAAACAACAAGAACCAAACAGGGTCTTTCACTGAACCTAGAGCTCACCAATTTGGCTAGATTATCTGGTCAGCAAGCCCCAGGGATCCTCCTGTCTCCATTTCCTCCAGCAGGGGATGACAGGTGCTGTGTCTGTGCTCAAATGGGTTCTTAGCAAGTCCTCATGCTTGAACAGTAAGGACCTTACTGACTGAGCCATTTCCCTGCCCTCTGCTAGTCTTCTTGAGGAACTGTCCTTGGCTGAACAGGCTGCCTTCCCCAAGGTTACACCCAATTTCTGGGGTAGTATCTCTTGCCTGGTCAGTGCTAGAAGACCTCATCCCTTTGTCCTGACAGAACCAAAACACCCAACTTAGCCTGAGATCTGCCTTTCAGTCTGCTAAAGCCTCTGGCGCCTACAGCTGATTTCTGCCCAATTCTACTTCCTCTCTTCCCTCCCACAGTAATTGGCCCTAAAAGAGCTCCCTATAAACTTCCTACATACCACCCATCAATAACTTTCCATCTTGGAGACAGTTTCCAGAAAATCAACCTCAGAGACAAACTGCCATCTAAGCCCTGGGTATCCCTCTGGATCTGACTTTTGTCTTCTCTAACCCTAAGAATCCCAGGTATACATATGCAACATATCTACCACACTCTTGGCCCATGTAGTTAACTTGACCCCAGAGAAAAAGTGTGTTCATTATCCTGCCAGGGCAAAGACACTCACTCCTTCAAGGGCAGAGTAATGGCACAACCTCTTCCAGTTTTCCCTGAAGTCCTATCAGGATTCAGCCTCTTCTGAGCAGAGTCCCGCCATCCATCACAATAAAGCACACCATATTCACAGCCCTTTAACAGCCACAGTATGGCTATTTATGTCTCCAGGCTGCCAGCCGAAGATCCCTCCCGGGGGCCCTCTATGATCTTCTGGGTCCCCAAGGACTTTCTACCATTAGGAGCATGGTGGCTTTTCTCTGAATAGAAAGATCCCATCTGTTTTATTCAGGTGAGTGATGGGATACTTCTGTCATGAAGAGAGTCTGTTGGAGGAGATAGGAGAAAAAGGCCCAAAGCAAGGACATGGATTTCCAAGTTCAAGTCAGCAGCGGAGCTGGGATTAGAACATATTTATTTCTGCATCCTTTTTGCTCTACCTCACTATTCCCTCGAAAGGCTTGCAGCTAAAATCCAGGTAGAGCTGTGGGAAAGGGAACAGCTTTGTCCTATATACCTCAGAGACATGGAACTCCGAATTACCAGTGCTATTAGATAACAAAAGTATAGCGTAGGGCTAAAATGGGAAATAAGGGGAACTCTGTCAACAGTGTACTAGGTGTCTTATAACTGCACCCCCATCCTAGTTGGGAGGAAAAGATCAGGTAAGTCAGTTATCTACAATGATATGTAACCACTAGCCTGATGGAAAAAAAGGCGTTTTAATCCTTCTAAAACACACACACTTACTTTAAGGTCTAGAATCTTGGATGGAGGAATACACATCAAGTAGTCCTGGAAATACTGTTAAGTAAAAGGAAGCATTTATACTTGTATTTTTTCCTAAACACCAGAATTAAGGCAGCTGGAGTTGTAACAGTTGCAAATCTTGGCTAGTTATGAACATCAGTGGATATTGGTCAGGAATTCCCTACTGCACCATTATAGCTTATTTACTCTGGGCAACCCAGAATGACTATGACTCCTTCAAACTTCTCCAGTACTTAAAAAGAGGAAAAGTGAAGTGCGAGAGCAGTAAACTCATATGCAGTCTACTGGATCCCTAGAACATAAGAATTACCTTGTGCCAGCACCTGTGACAGAGGAAAAGTAAATTATGTAATTAAAAGAATACTTGCCCCCAAGAGACAGTGTTTGGGCTGAGAAGGCTTAGACGGACAATTTATTTCTTTCTCTGCAATCTTCCTGGTGCACTAATATCGCTGCACATTTCTGCAAGGATGCTGGATTTGATGGAATTTGAAACCTGCTGAGTTTTGTGGACATATAGGCATTCCAAAAATAGAAACAGATGTCACTCTTCTAGGTCTTTCTAGAGATAGATTAGGTGGTACATAAGGAGAAAAACCATCTCCATTTGCTCTTTAGACTGCTGAGAAAGAGACGGATCTAAAGTCAGGGTTAATGGTGACCTAGCAGGTGGAAACCTCCAGGGAATAGCAAAATCAGACAATCCTCTGTTATTGTAACAATTTATTTTATTGTTTCCTGTTTATGCACCCAATCTAAGGTTCTCTCCACACTTCTCTCTGTAAATAGCATCACTAAACATCAGGGTGTCGAAAACTAACAAGCACTCCAGGTTCCTCTTCCTATCTTTCCATTATCAGCAAGTCCTTCCCTCTGCAGAACACGCACATCTATCTGCCGCCCATTTTTTTCTATCCTGACTACCCTACCTGAAAGCCACGATTCTGTTTTAGACTACCTGGCCACTTCTGCTGTCCCTACATTCACTTTCCCTCCCCCAATATAAACTATCTATTTACCTATTTACCCGATAGGTCTTCACAAACTAAATAAGGTCACATCACTCTCTTTGTCGGAACCCTCCCCCCCCCCCGCACCCCCCGTTCCTTCACATTGCTCTGGAACAAAATAAAATCCCAAATCTAAAGACAGGATCTCACTATTTAGCCCAGGTTGCCATGGAACTGATGGCTCTCCAGCTTCCTCTTCCCCAGTGCTGGGATTTACAGGCGCGTGCCTCTGCCTACCTTTTTTTTTTTTTTCTCTCTCTTACGGCTGTCTACACGGGCTGTAACTACACGGGCCATTTACCAGGTCCCTGAACATGACCATCTTTCCACTTTCTCTCTCCCCAGTGGCTGTTTCCTGTCTCTGGAATAGTTTGCACCTGAACCTCAGAGGACAAATCTTTAAGACCTCAGTGCCATCGGTTTGAAACCACCATTGAGCCCACTGCAGCCCACAGAGCTGGGCTGAGCCGACGCCCCCCCAAGAAGACTCGGCAGAGCAGTCCGGGCGCCGCCGGCCGGCGCGCCGTTTCGCTTCCGGGTGAGGGGCGGGCGGGCCAAGCAGTTCCGGGGCGGGCGGCGGCTGCGGGTCCCGGCGCGGAGGGCGCGAGCTCGCGGCGCGGGCCGAGGGCCGAGGGCCGAGGGCGGCGGCGCGGAGACCCCGGGGCCCGGCGGCCCATGGGGCGCGAGGCGTGAAGCCGCGGCCTGCCCTGCGGTGGGGGGTGGGGGGAGCGGGGCGGGGCGATGGATAAACTGACCATCATCTCAGGATGTCTCTTTCTGGCCGCCGATATCTTCGCCATCGCCAGCATCGCCAACCCGGACTGGATCAACACCGGGGAGTCGGCGGGTGAGTGGCTTGCGCGGGCCGCGAGGGTGGCGGTCCCCCGGGGTCCGCGGTCCCGGGGGTTAAAGGTCGGCGCCGGGGTGGGAGCGGGTGGAGGCTATTTAGCTGTGGCTCCCCCTTTCCCCTTTGAAGTGTATGTGGGTATAGTCTTTGCTTTATTTTAGGCCCGGGAGCTATAATAATACTAATAATAAACTTCATTTTGTGGAGCATCTTTCATTCCAGCGCATTTCATGCACGCGCGCGCGCGCACGCACACACACACACACACACACACACACACACACTCGCTCGCTGGAGATACCTTAATAGTAGTTAGAAAATTAAATAACACATTAGAGTCGCAGGCAGCCCCAGCGGCTCTGCCTGCTGGAACACTGAAGCTGGAGGCGGGTTTGTGTGTGTGGGTGCCCTCACGAAGAGGCGGGCGTCTTTCCGAAGGGTATCCCAGGTGAATGCGCTGGCAGGGTTCTCAGCTCCAGCCCTCTTTTCCTACTCCCTCTTTCTCTCTCTCCCAGACCTGCGAGACCAACCCTTTAATTAATATAAACATTTGTCAGGAGAGCCGCTCAAAATTAAGGAACCGTCTCGTTTTTTAACTGCTTGTTCAGTAGTAGATGAAGGGAACGAGGAGTGGGAATGTCAGGGCTCTTTCAAACGATTTGTTATAAAATGTATCGTTATGCTGTCAAACTTCTTAAGTGTCACTTAAGGTTCTCAGTTTATCCAGCAATATTTTTAGCTTCAAAAAAATAGGGGGGGGGCTGTAGCTGGGACATTTGTTGCTTCCTCCTCCCTCTCTCTGATCTAGACCTAGTAGCACAAAATCATGCTGTTGGATTTACTGGTTATTAAAATAACACTAAAGAATTCTACTATTTGACTGTAGAATTTTAGCAGAGCTCTTAATTGTAACGGGTAAAAAGGGTGTTTTGGAATCATGTGGAATTTGGTAATACCTGTGGGCTGTTTCTAAAAGTGTTGCTGACTCCAATTTATTCAGCTATGTGTGTGACATTCAGTTCACTGTTGTTTTTATTCTAATTGTATGTGTAGTGACTCCTTTGTGAGACTTTCTTTGGGCTTTACATACCTAGTAGCAAAGGGATCATGCTGTTGAGTTGAGGTCCTTATTGGAAAAAGATTTTTAGGTGGAATCCCTGTAGGTGGTGGATGAACTGTCCAGGAACAAGGTAGACTAGGGAAGGGAACTGTTACTATACATTATATAAGACAAGAGAACAGTAATGGTGCAGCATCCCCAAGGTGATGTTGCAGAGGCCACTCACGTTCAAAAGAAAGCAAGAGTGGAATGAATACAGTGCCTTCAGATCAGCTGTGAGCCCGCAAAGACGTGGGAGGGACAGTAGTTCAAAGTTTGAAAAAAAAAAAAAAAAAAAAAAAAAGCTTGATAAGGGGAAATTGATGCAGAAAGCATGCCAGCTGATCAGGCAGCACCAAAGCTTTTTGGATGTCAGTGGCTGTGAATGTACAGTGTGACAGCCTCCCTGTCCCACTGACCTGTAGTCATGGCCAGCTGCTTTGAGACCATTGTAGCTTAGGTCTCATGCCCTTGGAAATAAGAAAACATCAAAAACGTTAACATGAAATCTAATAGAGGCCTCATCAAGCTCTGAGGTTTTCATATACCTGCAGAAAGAAAAAAGAAAGACAAGGCAGCAAAGGTGTTGAAGGAACTGGCCAAGAAAAGTGAGGAGAGAAAACGAGCTGATGGTATGTGGTCAGCAGAGTTGTGTACATAGTAAATTTGAAGACCAAAGTGAGAATGAGTGCTATAGCAGAGTGCAGTGGCAGGGAAAGGTGGGCGGGCATGTGGCCCAGTGCTGAAATGAAGTGTTAACACTTCAGAGGTGATTTTTGTCCACCCAACAATTTCCCTCCATACCTCAGGGTATCCTTCCGTTAAATACTCTGTCCAAAAGAGGACGCTTAAGATACAACAGTAAAGGTTTTCAAACTTCTGTTAGTTCTTACTTTAAGTGGGTCAAAAAATAGATCCCTTAAAAGTTAAAATTAAAGGTGGGATTGCAGCTTATTGTTAAGCATCTGCCTTGTGTGCATGAGACCCTGGGTTTAGTGGGCAGCTGGAGAGGGTGAGAGGGCTGAAGTCCTCTGTTCAATGTGTGCTCTCTGGCAAGGTGCACTTGTGCAGTTTACTTGAGCAGACAGAGTTGTCTTAGGTTTAAAAGCAAAACCAAAACATCAAATAAAAAAAATAATAAAACAATAGTTCCATTTTTTTTAAAATCAAAACAATTATAAGAAGTACAACTAGGATGTGGGGTGGTAGGATTGGCCTTACTCCAAGGTTTCCACTAGAGTGACTTCACTTGGTAGCAAAAATTAGCAACTTCCCTTCAGTGCACTGTATTCAGTCTGTGTTACTTTTGATTGTGGTGTTTTATTACAATATTTTTCAAAATTTATTGTACTTTATGTGTGCCTACATGTATGTCTGTGCATCGTGTGTATGCCTGGTACTGGATGGGGACAGTAGAAGTTGTCAGATGCCCTGAGATTGAAGGAACAGATGATTGTGGGTGCTGGGAATCAAATCAGGGTCCTTTGGAAGATCAGCCAGTGCTCTTAACTGCTGAGCCATCTCTCCAGTCATCTTATTGTAAATTTTAAATGATTCTTAAAAATACATCTACAGCAGAACTCTTAGAACTAAAGCAATCTGCACAATGTAGTCTGAAAACCATTGTAGTGAACTAAGGAAAGCTCAGGGTTCAGATCCAAGTACCATCATTTGCTGGCATTGTGGCATTGGCTCAAGTCCTGTAGCTCTCCATGTCTCCTTCCTCCTCTGTAAAATAAAGACAGTACCACCTCCTTGGCTTCTAGTGATGGTAAATGCATTAATTTACAGGAAGGATTAAAAATGGTTCATGGGCTGGTGATGGTGGTGCACTCCTTTAATCCCAGCACTTAGGAGGCAGAGGCAGGCAGACCTCTGTGAGTTTAAGGCCAGCCTGGTCTACAGAGGGAGTTCTATGACAGCAAGGGCTACCCAGAGAAACCCTGTCTTGAAAAATCAAAAACAAACAAAAATTGTGTCTGGCATTTGTGTTGCTGCTTTTCAGTAAGCCTTAAACTTTTACTATGGGAAATGACATTCCTAGATGTTATTGGGAATATGTAAACATCAAGAGTAACATACCTGAGCTTAGAGTTAGGTCCTCTTCCCTTTTGCTTTGCGCTTTCTCCATCAGTCTGTATTGTGCCTCTCGCTCATTTCTCCTCCCTATACTCTAATCTTGCTACCCTTAGTGTCTGTGTCACACACAAAACCCCCACAGAGGAGCTGGGTTATCAGAAGATTGGGGCCACACTTTGGAGTGGCAGAGTTTTAAGTTTGTTTTTGTTGTACTGATCCAGACAGGGTACATTCTGTATATTTTTACCTAGCTGTGGAAACCTATCCTGCATTTGTTCTGATAGCTGTGGCTTCTGCAGATAAAATGAAACAGTGTTTGCAAAGGAAAATGCCTGGGGAAAGCACTTCAAGAAGGACCTTTAGCAATGTCCATTAGTACAACCAGAAATGTTTAGTGCTGGGTAGATTTAATGACATAGTTACATATTGTGCTCTGTGAAGGACAGATTCCCACTGCTAGTGGACTCAGCAGTAACAGCAATACTGCTTAGTGCTGTGTGGTATCTGAAGCCTAGAGACTACGACTACTTCATGTATTTGTCTGATGTGAAATTGTCATTTCCACATTCCCCTGTTTTTCAGTGTTATATATGACATGTGAGTGTCACTGTGGCCAGGGTTCCTTTTAAGAAAACTTTGGGTCTGTGGTGTAGAGGTTCTGTGGTAGTGTAGTGGGCTTGTCTGGTATGCAGGAGGCCAAGTTTGAGTACTGGGAAGGGATCTTCTGCAAGTGTTACCTACAGTTTTCATTTGTCTTAAACGATATTTCAATTAAATTAAATTCTTTAGGGATTCAAGTTTTTGCCAGATTACAGAATAGAACAGGGGCAGATTTGAGTTTCAGTCTTCAAGTGTTGGTTTGGGGCTTCATAGACATTTCTTAACCTGTCACTTTTTCCTTTGTCCCTAAAGAAACAATTTTTTGTGTGTGCCAGAAAAAAAAAATGCAGTAAATTTTATATGATCAATAGTTAAGCTATTTCATATCTCTAGATTTCCGTTATCATCCCTCTACAGCAAGCATTCCAGTGACCTCCCTAAATATGTGCTCTGTGAAGGCTGCTGGAGCTTCTTCTCTACATCCAACCAGAATCTAAAGTGGGCGTGTAAGGAAAGGCTAGTACATTTGCTCCTGAAGGCCTTTCCATTCTTCTTTCTGTTCAGATGGATGTTGGTGTTTGGGGGGATGGGAGCACCTCAGATATCGACACCCTCGTCCCTGCTACACTTTCTGGTTTTTGAGACATAGTCCATTTCAGGCTGTCCCTGAGCTCATTGTATGAGTGAAGGTTCTCTAAAGGGACAGAACCAAAACTGTGTTTGTGTGTGTGTGTGTGTGTGTGTGTGTGTGTGTGAGAGAGAGAGAGAGAGAGAGAGAGAGAGAGAGAGAGAGAGAGAGAGAGAGAGAATTTTAAGAGAGGATGTCCAAGACTGAGTTACAGCTTATAGGCCTGTGTGTTCATCAGTGGTCATTTACATGGCGGAGAGGCTGAGGAGCTGCTCTTGCTAGGACTAGATGCCTCAGTATTCCAAACTGGCTCCAAAGGTCTCCAAGGCCCAAGGCTGGATTCCCATGGCGGCGGCAGCAACAGAATAGACAGTGGCAAGAAACAAGACAAGCAAGTAACAGTTTTCCTCTGTCCTGTCTGAATGGAGACTGTCCTCCAGGAATTATCTTCTCTGAAGAGGATCTGTCCTTTCTGGAAATACCTTCACAGATCAGACCAAAGATGTGCCCCTTAGCTGTTTCTAGAACTGGTCAAGTTGTTAAGATTGTCACATTCACTGTGTAGCCCAGCCAGATCAGCCCACTGTCCTGCCT